CTCAATCAAATTCAGGTCAGGTGATTGACTTGGTCATTGCATAGCAGTCCAATTCTTTCCCTTCAAAAGCAACCAAATAGTTTTTGAAGGGAAAGAATTGGACTGCTATGCAATGACCAAGTCAATCACCTGACCTGAATTTGATTGAGCTTGCATTTCACTTGCTGAAAACAAAACTAAACGGAAAATGCCCAAAAAACAAGCTGGAACTGAAGAAAGTTGCTGTAGAGGCCTGGCAGAGCACCACCAGGGATGAGAAGCAACGTTTGGTGATGTCTATGCGTTCCAGACTTCAGGCTGTTTTTGACTGCAACTGATTTGCAACCAAGTGTTAAAAAGTGAAAGTTTGATTTAGAATTATTATTCTGTCCAATTACTTTTGGACCCTTAACAAGAGCAAGGCGCATATGCAAACTGTTGTAATTCCTACAGCGTTCACCTGATTTGGATAATTTGGAATACCCTCAAATTAAAGCTGACAGTCTGCAGTTAAAGCGCATCTTGTTCGTTTAATTTAAAATACATTGTGTTGGTGGATAGAGCCAAAAATGTGTCAATGTCCAAATATTTATGGACCTAACTGTATACAAGATGTAATATGTAAATGTAAAATGATTAATAGTAGTGCAAAATAGGGGGAAAGAGTGGGGTATGTGTGAGGTAAGTAAATTTTCAATGTTTTGTGTATATTTCTTATGATCATTCAACAGTATATATATATATATATATATATATATATATATATATATATATATATTTCAAGAGTTCATACTTAGCTGATGATTGATTATAAAGCTTGTTTGGCATGCTGTCCCGGGGGAAAGCCCTGAGCTCATAAGATCCTCGAGCCCTGGGCTCCCTCCCATTTGCAAGGCGAGAGGGGAGTTTGAGCTCAGGTAGATCTCGAGAACTTCTCTGCTGTAGTAGCTAATGAACAGATAGAGATTGCTCTTAAGAGATAGTTATTTACTAGGAGAGGTGCTGATTTGGATTAGTCAATTTACTTAAGGTGGGAGGAGTGGATGGGGGGAGGAAACCGGGGAACCCGGGGGAAACCCACATGAGCACGGGGAGAATGTGTAAACTCCTCACAGAAACGTTGGCTGGCTTGGTAAGGACTAGAACCAGTGACGTTCTTGCTGTGAGGCAACTGTGCTAACCACTGGGCCACCGTGCCACATATCTAGAAAAGGAGAAGTAGGGGAGGAAGTGGGGATTCTTCAAAATGAAGATGGCTGTCAAATTGAACTTAGGGTACTTAGAGTGGCTTAGGAATCATCTGATTGGTGAATCATAAATTTAATAATGCGGGATCGACTTCAAGCAATCATAAACACCGGATCCTCTCGAAATAAATGAACTTCACTCAAAACATCAAGTCAAGTTACAAGTCTAACACTACAGACACTTGCATTCTGTATGCTTTCTATGTACAAAAAAAGTTTTTTTAACGATTCTTCTTTAAGGGAGATGCCAAAATTTGTTAATCTTTAACTCCTATATCATGTAAAAATTTCCATAGAATGCTCTGGAATGTTGAAAGGGATGTAAATTAATGGGTAAAAAATATATGTTCTGAAATGTGAGCTATTAAGTCACACAACCAAGAGTGACAACCATCATTTTGCTGCAAAATTATCATAATAACAGTCTTACACAGTCTGTTCTGTCACCAAGTTCTTCCCTTTCCTCACATACCATCCATAAACAGTCAAATAAAAAAGAAACAGCAGTTTTACCACTTGGGTGTTCTTTTAATGGGATTGTCGATAAAATTACACATTATTAAGCCCTTTGCATTACATAATATATTATATAGTGAAAGCATTTTGAGTTTACTGAATCATCGAATCATATAACAGGATAACACTTTATAATACCCTATGAACCAATTATTAAGCATTAGCATCTAGTGAATTTATTATTTGTTAAGCATTAACGATAGTAAGCAGTTTATAACTGCGGCTACAAATGCATTCTTGACTTATAACCACATTTATAATGTGGTTAATAATTGTACTTTCATACTTTGTTAATGATTTATTTTTCATTACTATATGAAGTATTTCGTTATTTACAAACCAGTTGTATTTAAGAATAGTTGGAGGTTTTTAACATAATTCAGAATGAGTAAGTAAATTATTAATAAACTATTGAAATTAAAGTTTATACATCTTATTATTCAGACATATATTAATGGTTATGTATGTTAACAAATGCTTTATTAACTCAACTTCATGCAGTTTTGTGACCTAATCTAAAGTGAGGACTATTTATGCTATTAATGCCTTATAAATGACAATTAAAGGTTTTGTATCAAATGAATAATAAACATTGCAATCTTATCTAAAAAGTAAAATTACTTTAAATATTAAACATTGCTGAATAACAGGGTTGTCAAAATACAACATAAAATTGGATAAAACAACAACAACAATATAATAATTTAATAATATAATAAGATGCAATGTTTAAATTGTACAGTCATTTTATTTTAGATCAGGTTGCACATATTTATTTTTCATTTGAGACAGTTTATTTGTATATCTTCAAATGAATAGGTATGAATAATGTTGTTTATGTACTTTTTTCTTTTTTAGAATAAACTGACTCTTTAATTGTCATTTATAAGGCATTTATAAAGCATAAATAGTCCTCACTTTAGATTACGTCACAAAACTGCATGAAGTTGAGTTAAAAAAAGCATTTATTAACACATAAGTTAACTATTAGTATATGCCTGAATAATAAGATATATAAATGTTGATTTTAATAGTTTATTAATCATTTACAACCTCATTCTGAATGATCTTTAAAAAACACCAACTATGCTTAAATAACTGGTTTGTAAATAATGCAATACTTCATTTAGTAATGAAAAATAAATAATTAACAAAGTATGAAAGTGCAATTATTAAGCACATTATAAATGTGGTTATAAGTCAAGAATACAGCATTTGTAGCTGCAGTTATAGACTGTTTACTAATGTTTATTAATGTAGAGTTAATGCTTAACAGATAATGAATTCACAGTTTGCTAATGCTTAATAGTTCATAGTGTGTAGTTATTATAAAGTGTTACATAACAGTTGTGAAGCAATAACTCTAACATTTAAACACAGCAACAGGTGGTTTTGTCTTGTCCGACCATTTTCTCAACAGCATTTCCTTCTAAATTGGCCCTAATCGATGACACCTGCAGTGACCACATCTGTTTCTGTCTGACCATGTCTGTCCTTGGCTCTTTTATAATACTGGAGGAATCCTGACGAGCCTGTTTCTAACCACTTTTTTCTCATCCTTGTTTCACATTGCTGTGATGAATCTAGAAAATTTGTTGTGTGGTGAAACGACTTAACCAAATCTATACATCAAGATAAATAAAACTGGTTAGTTTGGTATTTCATGTGAGGCATGTGATGGCAACTGATTCACATTCTGATGTGTTTTGGTCTGAGATATGCTTCAGACACAACAAGAATATATGAATGTTTGGGTATGTTATGGTTTCAAGTGAAAATCAAAAACTTTTAATGTACTTTGGGTGTTCGTTTGAACAACAAGATTGTCTTGGGAACCTAAAAATACAAACTTTCACTGTAATAAATGCTGGGTTCCACATGATGCTTCATATTGTCCCAACATTGATTAGGTTAATTTATTTGTTTTTACAAATTTGGGTGGATTGAACATAAAACAATTAAGTTGTTCCAAATAAAAACTCAAATATTGTGTTGATTTAATTAATTTAAAATACATAGTTTTAAGTGTTTCTGAAACACTTTTCAGTAAAACAAAATGCTAATCGATATTATTTCAATTGACTATATTTATGTCAAAACGACATCAAATTGACATCTCACATTGGCTTCAAAAATTGATTACAGGACTGTCCTATAAGCAAATTTTAAAAAGATTTTTACTTAAATGTGAATTGATGATTTTTTGAAGTCAAGGTAGTTACAGGCATACAAGTGTTATCATTGTTTTAAACAGTAACATGTTGTGTTTTATATGTTCTTATAGGTATGTGCGAGTATTTCACAATCAAGACAACTATTTTCACTGGCCTGACATGTATCATGGTTTTTAGCTGTTATTTTAAAGGGATTGTGTTAATAATGCTGTTATCTATATGCAGATCTTTTCAAAAACATGAAGGAAAATCAGTTTACCCTTTAGTCTGATTAATATCACGAATTGAATGTGTTGTAAAATGCCCGTGTGTAATATCTGTGTGAGCATTTTTTTTTTCAATTATATTGTTAAAATCACAGTGAAAGACAAACTTTGCAGTAATTAAAGATGATTAGTTATTTCAAAGTTGTTATATTACAGTAATATGTATTTGTGTGTAAATTTTAAACTGTGTATAAATTAATTCTAAGCTGAAAATCATGATAAGTTCTTTTTAGCTAGTTAACATGTAACTTTGTCCAATTATTCAATTATATCTGTGAAATTAGGCCAATTATGCAGTATTATGGTAAAGCAGGGTTAAAATATAACGTAGCCTACAATTAATTTATTTGCAAATAATTAGTTGTAAGGAAGTGGCTGAACCGGACGGATAGATAGATAGATAGATAGATAGATAGATAGATAGATAGATAGATAGATAGATAGATAGATAGATAGATAGATAGATAGATAGATAGATAGATAGATAGATAGATAGATAGATAGATAGATAGATAGATAGATATGGTTCATAAACAAATAAATGCTTCTCACTACTAAAGAAAACACGTTTTCATAGTGAGCAAAGAAATGAATTGTTTACAACACGATAACATCAGTGTAATTTTCATAATGGATGTGTAGAATGTTTACGCCTCCATGCTGTACACCTTTCAGGTGGGCCACGCCTACCCGCGTTGTGATTAGACAATGCGCCGGTTTCTGCGCTCTGAATGGCTGAGGCAGCTGTCACTCTTCTTCTACGTGATACTTTACAACAGGTAAGGCTACCTGAGTGACATAGGGAGGGTTTTGGATACACCGCGCGCCTGGATGTACCTACAAGGACGTTTACAATAATCCCGTATATGTTTATTCGCTATTAAAAACACAGATTTTTATATAATATTCGTATAGAAATGGCAAGTGTAGGACTGGTTGTCGGCACTCCAAATACTGAAGAGAGAGCGGTTTTCACGCAGCTCAAGCCCGTGCGGATGTGTAGCGGCGATGGGCCGGAGGACTCGTCCGTGTTCGAGGACGTCAAACCCGCAGTGAGAATCGCAACAAACCCCGTTGAAATGGCTCAGGTATGACAGGCGCTCCGTGGTGTTTACCTTTACCTGGAAAATACAGCTATTCAAATGTCTAAAATGCCAAAAACATTTTAGAACCACTTGAGCACTAGCAAAAATAAAAGAGATAAATAAACAATGATTGTACTACAGCCTGATGCAATAGTCAATTCCTACAGTGAAAGCGTCTGGTTATAATTACATATTGTTGATAAAATATGCTACAATGTATCATTTTAGGTGTTTTCGTTTTAAGTGTGCATGTTATATCTTTACATAGACTACACTTAAAAAAATATTCATTGGATTTACTACATTTTTAAGTTAAGTGGTTGCAAACAGTTTATATGGGCTGAATTTAAACAAAGAAATTAAATTTACTAATGTTCAGCTTCATTTCTTGTTTAAATTCAGCCCATGTAAATTGTTTGCAACCACTTACCTTTTTAAAAATTTGTAAATGAATATTTTTTTCAGTGTACACAGCCAGTAAATTGCTAGACGTTTAGACTATATTAATAAATAACCATTGTGTTTTACGTCAATCTTATACATTGCAAGTTATTATCAGCAAGAAGAATAACTATATAAAAATATCTAATAATATATTTAATTATGTCTTATGACCATCATGTTTTATGATATATGATTGCAAATAGTTTAAATGCACCTTTGTGTTGAAGCCTACACAATAAATCGTCTCATTGAATTTGCATGGATTTTGCAATAAATACTGACGTCATTGCTCTCGTAAGTGTATAGCTTATGCTTGTCTCACTGAGTTGATTATGAATTCTTTATTTCAGTGAATGTGAGATCATTGAAGAAGGCTTTAAAACTTAATCTGCAATTTTTTCCCCTTAATACAATCTACTGTATATCATAATAGTAAAATATAATTAGGCATGCTCCATTAAAAAGCAAATAATATATGATATTAAAAATAGTAACACTTTACAATGAAAATGTATTAGTTAATGTAATGTATTTACTAGCATGAACAAACTATGAACAATACATTTATTACAGTTTATTCATCTTTGTTAATCTTAGTTAATGAATATAAAGTTATTCATGGTTTGCTCATGTTAACCCACGGTGCATTAAGTTTAACAACCATGTTTTGGACTTTAATTAATGCATTACTAAATGTTAAAATATGATTAATAAATGCTTTACAGTTTTTGTTCATCGTTAATTCATGTTAGTTAATACATTAACTAATGAAATGTTATTGTAAAACAGAACAATTTACTTTTATCATCTAAATGTTTAACGTGTCAGTTTGTGCCAATTTTGTGGCTTGAAGTTTAAGATTTTTTATTAATCAACAGTTGCACTTTGGACTGATTTTAAAGTCACATTATGGTGATTAATATCTGCTATATATATTTTAAATTCATATTTGAAGCTGTTGTTCACAATGATTTAAAATGGATGGTTCTGAAGGGCAAACCCAATCAGCTCTGCTGGATCATATGGGTGCCTAACCAGAACAGCACTTGTTTATGATTGGCCAAGTCAATGACCTCATTGCACTCCTTCAGAAGTTCATATGGCCACAGGGAACATGCAGATTGTCGGCTGTACTGAAGAACGCCTGGGTGTTTGCAATGCCACGTTCCCTTGCCTGTATTTGCCGATGAGAAGGACATGGCTATAGGGGCTTTTGAACATTAATTGTTGTGAAAATTACCTGCTATTAATGGATTTGAGTCAGCCTAAATTAAATTAGATTGCCTAAATAATGCTAAACTATCACAAATTTTGGATCTAAGATTATCTTAATTGCATGATTGATTTGTCACATCTAATCAAAAGATATACTGTCTCTGAGTCATATCGTCTTGTGGTGCCGTGCATCATTCTTGCAGTAATTAACATTAATTTTCTGTCTGGTGTAAACTCAGCGTTTAGCATAAACCAGTAGACAGTAGTCATATCCATTTGAAGAGCAGTTAAGATGGTTCCCTTCAATAGGCATGGTCCTGAAAAGCCAAAACAACTGTTATCTATTTCCCTCAAAGCCATAAAAGATCATTTTCGTCTCAAAGGTTTTGTTTTCTCTCGCTGCTGCCCTCGAATGATTCGTGCTGTTATGGCTCCAGTAAACAGACAAGAAGCCTATCAGTCTGATTTTATGGTGATCTGCGGACAAAATCTCCATCTTTCTAAATTCCTTTCAAACCATAAAAGACAATTATTTCAAAAGAAAAGACCTTTTGTATTGCAATTAAATGGGAACCTTTATGCAAAATCACTTTTATAAGGGGTTTAAACATAGTTGTGTGGCAACAGTGTGTGAATATAGCCAGCCTATAATGGTAAACATTTATTAATTCTATTTTTTATAATCATACTTGATCAAAACAGTCTGCAAGAACCCTGTGAATGATATTCTCCTATTGTTTGTGTCATCAGAAGGGGAAAGCCCTGCCCATTAGTGACAATATTTCCCTTATTAGCATTGACAGCCCTGAGTAAGAAGCAACCGACCACCATTAGAGTTTTCACCTACTGAAGATAATGTCAGTGACTAAGAGGCGTTATAAATGTAAAGTCTTAAAAACACAAACTTTTTCGACAGCGACTTTTTCAAAGACACTTCACATTTTCAGTTTTTCTCAGAGTCTGCCACTATGCTGACACACAGGCATTTGTAGCTCCGCCCTGCTTCAAAAGAGCACAATCTCGTTTGAATTTAAAGCAGGAGTCACCTAAGTAGCACAATTTGCTCCAAAAAGGACACTTCTGAAGAGTTATAAAACATAATCTGTGGGGTATTTTGTGCTAAAACTTCACAAATACACCCTAAGGACATCAGAGACTTATTTTACATCTTGTATAAAGGAGCATAATAGGTCACATTTGAAAGAAATGGCAAATTAGGCTTAAATATGTTGTGGAATATAACTTTGAACATATTATTTACCAATTTTTTGATGTTTTTCTGTATTAAGACTTTTGACAAATAAATAGTCAGGTGGTCTGAAAGGGATATTTAGCCAAAAACTTATGTAATATATTTTTATAGGGTTGCACAATATTGCAAAAAACTAGCATTGTGATATTTTGATATTCTGCGAAATATATATATATATATATATATATATATCAGTAGGTAGTGCTATAGCCTAACAACTAGAAGGTCTCTGGTTCGAGCCTCAGCTGGGTCAGTTGGCGTTTCTGTGTGGAGTTTGCATATTCTCCCAGCATTTGCATGGGTTTCCTGATTTCCCCCACAGTCCAAAGATTTGCAATACAGGTGAATTGGGTAGGCTAAATTGTCCAAAGTGTATGTATGGATGTTTCCCAGAGATAGGTTGCAGTTGGAAGGGCATCCGCTGCATAAAACATATGCTGGATAAGTTGGTCGTTTATACCGCTTTGGTGACCCCAGATTAATAAAGGGACAAAGCCGTAAAGAAAATGAATGAAGGAATGCAGGAATGAAGAAATATTGCGATAAGAATACAACTTCACCACATGACTTGAATAACTCTATTTAGAAAGAATAAATACATTTAGATTGATTTGGATGATTCTGTAGAGGAGTGCATCTGCGTAAAACTATAATAAACAATCTACAAGCACAGATAAATACAACAAAGAAAAAGTGAAAAAAGGGTTTTGGGGTTTTCAGAAGGGTCTAACAGTATTCAGATACAGTAATTAAATAATCACAGGTAAAATAATAGTGCGTAGTTTTTGCTGTATAAGTAATTCAATAAAATAAATTGTTATTAAACTTAATTTCTTCTGCATATCCTGCAATGTGACTATTGCGAAAGAACACTTTGTGATATTAATGCTGAAACGATGTATTATGCTTCCCTAATTGTTTATATATATATATATATATATATATATATATATATATATATATATATATATATATATATATATATATATATATATATATATATATATATATATATAAAACATATATACAGTTGAAGTCAGAATTATTAGCCCCCCTGAATTATTAGCGCCCCTGTTTATTTTTTTCCCCAATTTCTGTTTAATGGAGGGAAGATTGTTTCAGCACATTTCTAAGCATAATAGTTTTAATAACTCATTTATAATAACTGATTTATTTTATCTTTGCTATGATGACAGTAAATAATATTTTACTTCATATTTTTCAAGACACTTTTATACAGCTGAAAGTGACATTTAAAGGCTTAACTAGGTTAATTAGGTTAACTAGGCAGGTTAGGGCAATTAGGCAAGTAATTCTATAACAATGGTTTGTTAGACTAACGAAAGAAAAATTAGCTTAAAGGGGCTAATAATTTTGTCCCAAAAATGGTTTAAAAAAAAAATTCAAAACTGCTTTAACTCTAGCTGAAATAAAACAAATAAGACTTTCTCCAAAAAAAAAAAAAATTATTAGACATACTGTGAAAATTTTCTTTCTCTGTTAAACATAATTTGGAAAATAATTAAAAAAGAAAAAAAAATTAGAAGGGGGCTAATAATTTTGACTTCAACTGTATATATGGTTTACTGAAGGGATAGTCCATCCAGAAATGAAATCTTACTCATCATTTACTTACCTTTAAGTTGCTCCAGACAATAATAAGTTTATATTTTGTGTGAAACAATAATTTAGAATTCACTAGCCATACGAATTTGCTAAATTCTTCAATATATCTACTTTTGTGAGGAAATTAAAACAGAAAAAACTCAAACTGAAACAAGTAAAGTAAATGATGACATAATTTACATTTTTGGGGTAAACTACCCTCTTTAAGTAAAATATTGTCTTGGACCCTGTTGACTTTTATTATTTGGAAATTGGACCATCTTCTTTTGTGTTCAGCTAAAGAAAAACAACGTGTGTGAATAATTGATGACATCCTTTTATTTTTAGGTTAAACATCTCTTCTTCTAAACGTATTTGAGAAAGTGAGACTTATTCGATACTGAGCAACTCCAGCATATTTATCTCAAAGATTATTTTTATGCCTCACTTGGCTCCCAGCCGTTATCGGCCCCCTAAAATACATAACTGAGCAGTTGTAAATGTTCTGCAATGATTAACTCAGATGCTGGGCCAGGGTTCAGCTGCTGTTCATTCTCCTCACACAAACCCAGTGAACAGAACCGGCTCTCTAAGGCCAGCAGAGGCCACGGCCAAGGGCACTTGCATTTCTGCCAACAACACCACAACACAAGGCCCGTTTGTGCCCAGCACTAAGAGCAGGGGCAGCACTCCTGCCAGGTCTGGAGATAAATCGAAAGCTATTTTCCATTAATTACCTAGTTTCAAATTTCCAAAGCTGGCCTGGTGGGGATGAAGGTAGAATCGTTGACGTTAACGCTGAGAGTACAATTGCCTGGCTCATCCACGGCAATATGAAAAGCTGCAAAAAATTCGCTCATTGTACATTCTCCGTCAGTACATGAGCTCACACGTTTGGCTATGAGTACAACCTGAAAGTACAAAGATATTTGTACATGAAACCACATCAGTAGGTTGCCAAGGAAATGCATTTTGACAATGCGTGCCTTGTTGTTGACATAGCTGCCACTTCAGACAGCTGGACATTACAGCGCTTTTGAAATGTTTATTGTCAAATATAATGACTGCAGTGAAATCCACAATAAAGAGAGTTGCATGTTAAAAGTGCAGTTGAAAAGTCTGTGACCATATTAAAATAACACAATTCCTATAAAGGATAAGTTTAAGTAGTTCAGTAATCTGGCATTGCTGTTTCTTGGAAACATTAACTACAGTGCTTGTTACGTGTATACAGTATATATAGAAAAGTGATTTTATATACATAGCATTTTATGTATATACATAGCATTAGCATTTTAAAATTAACATCTATATAAGCTATCTACTTTAATGTTTTAATGTGTTAAATGTAAAAATATAAAATAATGTTTTAACATATTTAAAATAAATACAATTTTGCTGACAGACAGAGAGACAAAACCTAATGTTTTAAAGGATCCTGGCAAGCTATAAGTATTTAAAAATGGAATAAATTATTTTTAGAGGCCTTCACTGTGATCTTTAAATACAGCCATTTAACATGGTAAAATTATTCTTATTTTGAATATATTGATTTGTGGGTATATAAATTATTATTAGACATGACTGATTTCTATAAATCATGGTAAAAAGTCTATGATAGTTATTTTTGCTCCAAAAACATATCTTAATAATTCATATTATAATGTATAAGCAAAACATTAAAGGTTAATTCAGGTCTAAAATTGAAGGTAAATCCTCCAAGTTGTACACAATCACATATAAGTTGTAGTTAAAACACCTATTTTAGCTATAACCAAAGAAAATTGTATTAAAATATAAAATTTTTAAATTAAATACAAAAACATAGAAACCAATATGGTTGTGAACTCCTAAGAGCATAACAATACTAACAAATAGTCTTTTTAAAATTCATTCAACTATAAAATAATTCAAACATAGTTTGTTGTGAAATGTGCATAATGAAAATATGCTAAATAAAAGTAAAAAAAAAAAAGTCATCAGTTTCTAGGCTTGTTAGGGGATTATTTTGGTTACTAGCATGTGCAGTCATTGCCAATTGTATGAACCTGAAACGTTTCGTTCAAGGCAGGTATTTAGGCTGTTCAGGTTTTTGCATGCGCTAACCATTTCATCATCACACATTTGACTTGCCAATTGACTGGTTTGGTAAATCTGGTTCTTTATTATCAGAAAAATGCCCTCATTTATCAGTCTCCGAAGTTTACAGCATTGTTGTGCCTGAATGGCTCTCTACGGTGCACTCGTTTTTAGAGTTCTATTTTTGTACATTGTTTGTGCCCATATCTCCTCTTGCGATCACATGTCACTGTTTTGGTTTTGCTTTGTGTTCCAGTGCTTCATGGTCGCCACACCTATGAGGTTTCTGTTTACTCTGTGCTGCATTAAAGCACTGCAGAGCTGCTCCATTGATCTTGGCTTTGTGTGAATGGTTAAAGCAGGGAACGATTTCCTACTGCTTGTACCAGGCGCTACAATCACAAATCAGCTTCAACTGTTAAAGGCAGTAGCATAGTATATTCTTGCCAAACCTCAAATTCAATATTTTAAACAGCTGTGGTCAAGTGGCAAGAGTGAAATGGCAGAACAGAAATCTTACTTTATGGCTGCTAATCTGATTATCAAGTCACACACACAAAATACTTGACTGCAAAAAACAAAGGTTTAATTTAGTTCATTAAGGAAACATTTCCGTGCAAACAAATAATTTACATTTCAGATTTTTAAAATAATCAACTTAAAATAATTTAGTTGGTACTTACAGTACATGATACTAAAACTAAGGTGTTTTGGTCATTCATTTACATGCAAACTGTGTTTTGGCGGACTGAAAATGCAAACTTTTGAAAATGTTTTTTTTTCAGTGAATGTTTAAGAAAAAAAATACTGTTGTCGTCTCTGTGTTAGCTGCAAAAATCTCTATTTCATTCATTCATTTTCTTGTCGGTTTAGTCCCTTTATTAATCCGAGATCGCCACAGCAAAATGAACCGCCAACTTATCCAGCAAGTTTTTACTCAGCGGATGTTCACCCAGAGGAAACCCACGAGATCGCTAGGAGAAACGCCAACTGAGCCGAGGCTCGAACCAGCAACCTTCTTGCTGTGAGGCGACAGCACTACCTACTGCGCCACTGATTTGCCAACTGCAATAATGTTTTTTTTTGTGGAAACAATGGCATTATGTGTCTGTTACATCCCAGCAGACACACAACGTCATGATACAATAATATTAGATTAGATTTAGTTCGCCAGTGTCTAAGGACAATGTTTTTTTGACGTCTAATAAGGATGCAAAATTACGTTCATATTTTGTTGATTTTAGGTTGTGTTGGAAAGTGACAAAAGTCCAACATCAAGCAAACATCTTAAACCAACATCATATTGACGTCAAAAATGCTAACATTTATTCGTCAGATATGGCAATAAAATCCAAAGTCTAATAGATGTCATAGTGGTAATGTCCACACAAGCTGTAACATCATTAGATATTCAAGAGTTCACACTTAGCTCATGATTTATACATAGCTTGTTTGGTCCCAAAGAGAGCCCTGAGCTCAAGGGATCCTCGCGCCCAGCCCCCACCCCCCCCCCCCCCCCCCCCCCCACCCCCCTCTTTTGCAGGGCGAGTGGAGATTGAGCTCAGGTCTATCTCAAACTCCCCCGCTGCTGAGGCCAAGGCGAACTTCCTGAGAGTAAGACATTATAAAAAAGGTTTAGGCTTGTTTTATCTATAATACAGAGCACATTTGGATGGTGGGAGGAAACCGGGGAACTCTGGGGGAAACCCACGCGGACATGGGGAGAACATGCAAACTCCACACAGAAATACCAGATGGCTCAGCGAGGACCCAACACCATTGATATTCTTGCTGTGAGGCAACAGTGCTAGTCACTGGGCCACCGTGCTGCCCATTCTGGATAAAGGAGGAAGAAGGGGAGGAGGGAGGTTTCTTCCAGATGAAGATAGTTGTAGAAAGGAAATGAGGATATATATAGTGATTTGGGATCCTTTGATTGGAGGATCATAATTAGCTAATGTGGACCAGCTGGGTCAATCATGAGCACATGCTCCTCTCGAAATTAGTTTAAAATTAAACTTCACTTGATATTTTGTTGTTTTTAGGTTGTGTTGGAAAATGCAACATCTGTTTGACATTGACGTCAACCTGACGTTGGGTTATGACGTCAACCCGATTTTCATTTCCAAACAATGCAACCTCCCAAGACGTTGGGGTACAACATCAATCTGACATCATGTTGACGTCTTGTGTCTGCTGGGATGTTTAGTCCAAGGATAAGTGAGAGTATTTGACAATAAACCATCGCCAAATACATTTTTGGAGTCATAACATGACACTGAAACAAACTTTTTTTGGGTTCTTTAATCAATTAAAAAACATTAATTTGTCAATAAAAATGGCTTGACACAAACAGGAACTTGACAGGTCTGCTGTACCAGTAAGAAATCTGAATATCTGATCTGCTCATCTAATGAATGAACTGCATAATGCAGTGGATTATAATAAAAATGTATGTTGGTTATACATTTTTACATTTAGTCTCCCCTTTTTCTATCAACAATAATTGACTGTTCATTCAAAAGATGAGTAAATCACAGTGGACACATTCATAGTTTTCAGTCACATTATTAGTTTAGAGAACCTGTCAAGTTTCTCTTTGTGTCAAGCTGTAGACATCAAACATTTTTCACCTTTAATTTTTGTTGATTAATTTTTTTATAAGAGGAAGATTAAATGAATGTCGGGCAGCATGGTGGCGCAGTGGGTAGCACAATCGCCTCACAGCAAGAAGGTTGCAGGTTCAAGCCCTGGCTGGGTCAGTTGGCATTTCCGTGTGGAGTTTGCATGTTCTTCCCGTGTTCACATTGGTTCCTCTGGGTGCTCTGTTTTCCCCCACAGTCCAAAAACATGTGGTACAGGTGAATTGGGTAGGCTAAATTGTCGGTAGTGTATGTATGTGAATGAGTGTGTATGGATGTTTCCCAGGGATGGGTTGCAGCTGGAAGGGAATCCACTGTGTAACACATATGCTGGATAAGTTGGCGGTTCATTCCATTGTGGCGACCTTGGATTAATAAAAGGACTAAGCCGAACAAAAATCATTGAAAAAATAAAAAGTTCTTTGTACCACCATATATATCAGTGGTCATCAAACTTGTTCCTGGAGGGCCAGTGTCCTGCAGATTTTAGCTCCAACCCTAATCAAACACACCTGAACAAGCTAATCAAGGTCTTACTGGGTATACTTGAAACATCCAGGTAGGTGTGTTAAGGCAAGATGGAGCTAAACCCTGCAGGGACACTGGCCGTCCAGGACCAGGATTGGTGACCCCTGATATATATATACTAATAAAGAAAAAAAATTAAGTAGTGTTCTTAGTATTAATCATCTTCTGTTTGTTTCAGACACGGATGGAGATGGATAAATATCTGCCCCAGAGTGGCCCCCTACTTTCCCCAAACATAACAGATAAGAAATACCGCCGGGAAAGTGCCTCTGTGGTGGATGAGTATTTTGCAGATGAGAAGCCTGCCCCTTACAGCCTGAACATCAACGTTATCCTGCCCAACACCACACACCTTCGCACGGGCCTTTATCGCCCAAACAAACCTACAGTGCATCACATCAAAACAGAGCCAGGATTAGATGAACCCTGCGGCATTCAGACACTCCCCGAATTCACCTCCGTCTTCAGCGTGCCCCAGACGGTCAACAGCCTCTTCATCAAACCTGAAATACCGGTCACAGACGAGCTGCATATCGGTCCTCAGCAGCCATCAGCCTACCAGATGCCCGTCAGCAGTAGCGACCTCACCACTATGACCTTCTCCCACAGTCAGTCAATGAACGGAATTGGCGCACCCGGCAGGACCATGCTCAACCTGAACACTGTGGCCTTGACCGCACAATCTGCTGAATTTGTCATGCCTGAATCGTTCACCTACAATTCACCACAGCCACACAGTTTGCCTCCATCGCCCCCCAATTCCCAGCCCGGCAGTCCTGAGAACCAGGCTGAACTCATTACCTCTGTTGCCCCTCCCCCGCCGTACCAGGCCCGACTCGGAATGAAGGTTGGACAGATGACCCCTCACTCCATGATAATGGCCCACGGTCAGGGCATCCTCACAGGGCCCAGATACAACCGACGGAACAACCCTGAGCTGGAGAAGAGAAGGATTCATCATTGTGACTTCCAAGGTTAGTGAAGGTCCAGTAAATATTTTGGGATGTCTTCCTGAAGATGAGCAGAGATTATCTGGGATGTTGTGAACTAACATCTGGACATTTTTTTTCTGTACCAGGATGCAACAAAGTTTACACAAAGAGCTCTCACTTGAAAGCACACCAACGGACTCATACAGGTAAGAGACTGAATCATGCTCACACCTGAAATCGAATTGTCATTGTTTATTTAAACAAATATTCTCCTGTTGAAACACAGAGGAAAAGTACTGGTCAGTTTTGTATGCAATTAGATTGAGGCTGCATTTACTTGACAAGAATGTAGCCAAAAACAGAAACGTTTCCCCTTGCATTTAAAATGTATGCTGGTGTTTGCCATGTGTATAATGAGTATGCGCTGTTGGTTATAGTGTAAAGTACGTAATTCTACACTCTGTTAATGGTTTGGTAGCAAACACTTATGCAGCAGCAACACTACCACATAGTCCACCATTTTGGTTATGTTTGTGCTTGTCATTAATATACACCTCCTGCAGCACTTACCATGAGCGTTAGGGCTGTGCAATTAATCGAAAATCCGATTTCGATTTTGGCTTCGAACGATTATGAAAAAGCATTAATCGAGACAAACGAGAATTGCATCAAATACCGCCCCCTTTCCAGCTGTACACATCTGTTGCACCTAAAAGCACGAAAGACCGGGTGCTTATGTGTGTGCGGCACGCGCACACAGCCAGAAGCATGATGGCGGTCAGCATTTGGTCTCATTCGCACACTGAAGCTGGAATTATACTCGCGCCTGGCGCCGCATCGCGCACCTCTGCTGACTGCTTGCGCATCTCGCAAAACGGACGAGGCGCAGACATCTAAAGTCATCTTAATGTGAGCGCTTTAATGGTCAAATAGGTGTCAAAACGCGGTGTTTAGTGATTATTCATAATAAACCTCATTTGTGTAATAAACAAGTGAGTTGAGGATCAAAAGAGACGTAAAAGAGAAACCATTAAAGAGACAGCGCGCGATGTTGTTTTTATCATTAACCAAACAAAACGAGAAAATCCCTCTCTGCTCTTGACTGAAGGATTTTTGTAGCTAAAGTTTTATTCTTACAGTGAAGATGCTTAAAGCACAGCTTGTTTCATGTTTTTATTCTATTGTATTTATTTCTCTTATCTTTGCAGGGAGGAAAATAACTATATGTATACATTGAAGTCAGAATTATTAGCCCTCCTGAATATTAGCAACCCTTTTCCTGCCTAATTTCTGTTTAATGGAAAAAAGATTTTTTTTTTTTTCTGAACATAATAGTTTTGATATCTCATTTCTGATTACTGATTTCTTTTATCTTTGCTATGATGACAGCACATAATATTTTTCTAGATGTTTTTCTAAATACAAGCATTCAGATTAAAGTGCAATTCAAATGCTTATTAAGGGTAATTAAGCAGTTCATTGTATGACAGTAATTTCTTCTGCAGACAATCAAAAAATATATTGCTTAAGGGGGCTAATAATATTGACCTTAAAATGGGTTTCAAAATATTTAAACCTGCTTTTATTCTAGCTAAAATAAAACAAATAAGCCTAGAAGGAAAAATATTATATACAATACTGTTAAAATTCCTTGCTCTGTTAAACATAATTTGGGAAATATTTATTTAAAAAAAAAATTCTCAGGAGCGCTAATAATTTTGACTTCAACAGTATTCGTTTTAAATAATCGTGATTACAATTATGACCAAAATAATCTTGATTATGATTTTTCACAAATTCGAGCAGCCCTAATGAGCGTTCAAATCCAAAGATTCTCATTTTTTGTTGTTTACAGAGACACTAAATTGGTGGCGTTTTCAAAAACTTCCATTTTGTAACCTCATTTTCAGACTCCCAAAAACACCATTGTTGTGTAAAAGAACTGCCATAAAAAGTTTCCCATCTAAGTTGATCCTGGATCAACATTCCAATCAGCCAATCAGAATTAAGGGATATGTTTACCGTTTATGTTAAGTTTAGGCTTATGGCTAGGTTTATGCACTTCTACATGATTGTTATCCAACTATTACTCCCCTCTGAATTAGGATTAATTTACAGTTATGGTTGGGTTTATGAGTAGGGAATAGTTATGGATTACATTTTCGAACAAAAATGATATTCCAGGATGGACAAAGATGTTAATCCAGGATGGCATTGTACTTGGCAAAATCTTGACCTGTGTAGAGGGGTCAAGAAAATATTCCCCACATCATTACTTAAGCACTATCAGCCTGAATTGTTGATACAAGACAGAATTAATCTATTTGGTATAGTCTTCTGTTGTCAAATTTAGGTGATCCTGTGTGAACTGAAGCCTCAGTTTGCTGTTGTGAGCACACACCGGTATGGTTTTCTGCTGTAGCTCATCTGCTTCAAGGTTTTACAAGTTGCGTGTTCAGAGATTGTCTTCTGCATACCTTGGTGGTAACAAGTGGTTATTTGTGTTGTTGCCTTTCTTTTAGCTAAACCAGTTTGGCTATTTTCCCATGACCTCCATCAACAACAAGGCATTTTCACTTATCTAACTGACACTCACTGGATATTTTCTCTTTTTATTGTCATTCTCCATAAGTTTTACACATACTCATAGCTGTGCGTGTCCGTCCCAGTAGATCAGCATTTTCAGAAATACTCGAACAAGAATACTTTTGCACTAACTACTTTTAAAAGAACGCCAAGTACATTCAAAGCCTTTGCTTTTGTGTTCTTAAGAAAAGCGAAAGTGTGTAATAACACGTGGGCAGGTTAACCAACATTAGCACCAGCTTCAGTCGCTACCACTTGACCAGACGCAGTGTACCATCAACACTAAAGCTACAAATGCAGCAGCAGCTCAGAGATGACAGCCTAAGGACAAGAGATGTAGAAAGACAGCGAACAGGGTGGAGGGAGAGATTAATTGACTCTCTTTCATGCTTTTATACACATTGTGGCTGCATGCCTGTACAAGCCCTACATGCTTTCCCGAGGGGGAAATCGCCAAAGTGACGGAGGAAAAACCTGTTCCTCCTGCTTTTTCTGTCTGTGTTCAGGGGGGGAGGAGTACACCGCCGGGAGAAAAGAACTTGGCAGTTTCAGTGTGTTCAGCTCAACGTAAGATGAAACCCACTGCAATCCCTGCACACTTTAGAACGAAACCGAAATCTTCCCTCCCGAACACCAACGAGTGCAATTTTCATCGCATGACGTTAAGCTCATAAATGCACCTAGTTACCTCCTCCTTTGGTCTTTTCTAAGAATTTTTGGGGTGGTCTCCGTCTCCGAGAGTGCGGAGGGATTCCTTTTAGCCTGAGGTATCATTATTGTTGTCACTCATTGGCGCCCTAGAGGTATCTGTGTGACTCTGTTTAGTCTTATACAAAACATATGTTCCCATGTGTGGAACTCAGTAGACGTTGCAGCAGTGCAATAAACATTGGGATTTTACTATTTTATGACAATTTAATCACCCTCAAGTGTCTCCAAATGGGCTGGGTCTTTTCTGTTGAACACAAAGATATTTATTTTTACATTTTGGAAACGGTTATTGGCATTTAAAGTGTGAAAAATGCTATGCAAGTCTACTGGTTTGTAGTTTCTTCTGTGTTCAACAAAAGAAAGAAAAAACGCAAACAGGTTTGGAATAAGTGAAGGGATAAGTGGAGTAAATAATCACAGGATATTCATTTTGGGGCTAATTATCCCTTTAAGAGCCATTGTTAGGCCTGAGACAAAGAATGGCAAAAGTCACTCTAAAATTTAAAGGCATACAAATATTTTATAAAGAAAATATTTTACTAGAATATTTTAAAGGGCTTGGATAAGTTAAATATCACTGCTTTTTATTTCACACCACAAACAAATTAGATATTTTAATTTCTCATTTATTTTTGTTTTGAACTCAATAATTAAAGTAACTAATTACCATATAATTACTAAAGGAACTAATTGTATTAAATTAAGCAACATTTTTGTCTCTGGTTTAATCCACTATAATTAAAGGTCACAATGTTTTATGTGCTGTCAAATAATTTAAAAAACGAATAATTAAATGATTAAAAATCACAATCATTTAATTCTCTATCACCATGGACCATGAATGATTTTTAGAATGTTTTTTTATTAATAATTCCATTAATCAGATGCACTAAATAAATTTTCTGGTTAATACAAAACATAATAAATTATTTGTCTGTGGAAAGTTTTAATTTAGATAATAGACTACAGCTTATACGTCAGAACTATTCAAATTTCACATTTAATGTCACTAACCGGACATTTACAGCCAAATTAATGAAAGAGGGAAATCTACTAACAACAAATATGCTAACAACAAATTGTGTTAAAACGTGCTTTATTTTCCTGCTGTTAAATAATGGTACAAACACCAGTGAAATGGTTTATACACTGTAAAAAATGCAGGCTTCTACACAATTCATTCATCTTGTCCCTACACAAATTGATTAAGTTAACTTAAATTTAAATGGATTGAACATAAAACAATTAAGTTGTCTCCAAAACAATCCCAAGCTAATTTTAGCTAATATTATTTTTAAAATGTAGTTTGGACAAGTAGCAAATCATTTTTTGGAGTGTAACGTTTATTAAATCATATTTCACGTTTCATTTCAACTCTCAAAAATGTTGAGTCTGAAAGGGAAACTCCTACATATATTACTCCAGAAGAGGGTTTGTGCTGGTGCAAGCTGTCATTAAATCTGCCCGTTAAGTTTCAAATCGCTAGCAAGTACATAAAAAGTAAATGTTCAGGTAAAACTTAATGTGATGCATGCAAGAAGTCACATAATATAATCTTTGACCAATTTTACCAGCGATATTTCAGCCTCTGTCCATCAGCAATGCCATGTTTATGTTGTCAGAGGTCAGCTAGTCATTCTTCAGGTGGACTTGGTGTGGAGTTGCATTTCAGAAGACATCAGTTGGGGGTTGGTAATGATCTCTCCAAACTGAAAGCTGTCAAACAACAGTTTTAATAGCTCCAGAACATTCCGTGCTGACAGATGAAAGCCAGATCAGGTCGATAAGACGTGTAATTTTGATGTCTTTAGGAATGATATGTTCTATTCATGAGATCAAAAAACTATATTGTATGTCAGGATGTACTAGATGTGCGCTAGCAAAGCAATTAAAAACAAGCCTGCAAAAC